CAAGCAAACTTAAACTGTTAACAATCTCAATCTCTTCACCATCTATCATGATACTGCCAATCTGCCCAGTGGTGAGAATCTTTGTTTTCTTAATCAGCTTCAATCCATATTTAAGGATGCAGTCCTTGACCTTCTGCAATAAGTGCTTCAGATCCTCCTTCACTTCAGCAAGCAGTGTTGTGCCATCTGCATAACACAGATTGTTGATGAGACTTCCTCCAATCCTTTTGCCGTACTTCTCCTCATAGAGTCCAGCCTCCCAGGAAATCTATTTTGCATATTGATTGAAAAGATATGGAGATAGGACACATCCCTAGTGCAACCCTTCCCAATTTTGAACCATGCAGTGCTCTCTTGCTCTGTTCTGACTAATGCCTCCTGATCCAAGTATAGATTTCACGTAAGTATAATCAAGAGTTCTGTGATTCCCATTCTTTTCAGAATCAGCCACAGTTTGTTGTGATCCACACGGTCAAATGTCTTTGCATAGTCAATGAAACACAGATAGACGTTCCCTTAGTACTCCCTGCTTTCAGCCAAAATCCATCTAACATTAGCTATACTATTCCAAGTACCACAGCCTCTTCTAACCCAGCCTGCACTTCAGGCAGTTTTCTGTTGATGTGCTGTTCCAGTCATTTTGGATAGTCTTCAGCAGAACCTTGTTTGCATGTGATAGCAATGATACTGTTTGATAATTTCTGCACTCTGCTGGGTCAGCTTTATTTTGAATGGGAACAAATAGAGATCTCTCCCAGTCAGTTGGCCAGATGTTTGTCCTCCAGACTTGTTGAGCACATCCAGGGCAGCATCAGTTTGTTGAAATACTATGTCAATAAGTATGCCATCAATTCCTGGGACCCTATTTTTTGTCAATTCCATCAGAGCAGCTTGATCAACACAGGCTCATGCTCATACGTTGTTTCAATAAATTCTTCTGTGTTTGCTGATTCCTTTTGGTACAATGACTCCGTATACTCTTTCATCTTCTTTTAATGTTTCTTAGATCTTTTAATATTCTGTCCAAAGTGTCCCTAAATATTGCAACTTGAGGATTGAATTTATTCTTCAGTTCCTTCAGCTTAAGAAATGCTGAGCGAGTTTGGCCACTTTGATTTTCTGGCTCCAGCTCTTTGCACATTCATTATAATACTTTACTTTGTCTTCCATTGCTGCCCTTTGAAATCTTCTATTCAGTTCCTTAACATCTTGATTTCTTTTTTTTTTTGCTTTGGTTTCTCAGCGCTCTGGTGCAATATTTAGAGTCTCCTCTGACATCCATCTCAGTCTCTTCTTCCTCTTCTTTCTTTGTAATGACCTTTTGCATTCCTCCT